CCTGTCTGATTTCCCTGTTTGAGTAGCTTTATTGTTGTTCAAATTGTCACGTGGCCTTTATATATACTTTTTAAAGTGAGAGTTGGTACTATAAAAAAGAATGTCGAGTTTAAGTGTCTCTACTTAAACGTTGAAGAATAACTTGCTAATAAGATAATAGGTTGCGAGGTCAAACCCTATGATTTACATTGCTCGTGAAGGGAATTGTTAAAAACACGACTATCACGCTAAAAGTATATGTTTTTAAAGACTAAATACATTTATTCAAAATAAATTTATAAATTTTGAATTGTCTTCTGTATAAAAAACACATTATTTGTGTTGTAGAATGTGAAATACATAGTTGTGAGGGTAGGTGGTTTCTCCATTTGCAAAACAACAAAGATTGCAACAAAGTGCGGACCACTCCATCCATGCTTTTGTGAGAAAGATTGGAATAAAGGAATTGTCTAAATTTTGGCAAAATGCGATGTGATTACGTGTTTACTCTTTAGCATGAACCAATCAGATGGTACAATATGGCTATTGCCTGCCAGTCTTTATGCAAAAGAAATGGAATTTTGCTAATGAGATTGCTGTATGTATATATTTTCTTGGATTCATTGGCTGCAAAAGATTCTCGTGATTGTTGTGTTTAGGCTTAAAATTCCAAAGGAAATCAATTTTCTTTGAGACTAAAAATCAAATAAAGATGGAATGTTACAACTCTTTAATAGTATGAGATTTCTTATTCTTGAATCTCCGAGTAAAAAACTTGAGGAGTACCTTGTAACGAGTTTTAGTGCAACATTAGAGAGGATCGGTTACCCTTTTCACTTCCACAACTTTTCCTTTGATTTTTTGAGGATAATATGATACCCTTTGAACAATAACTAGCGGAATTTCCGTCTTGCTTGATGAAGCTTTACCTGTTTTGCCAATTGATCTTTTCGCAATGCTTTCCCCCCGAATTGACATTGTCTTATGACCCGATCCATGGCCAGAATGAGGTACTTTTAATGGGGTTGATCTAGTAATCGCCATTACGAGCTTGTAAATGACAAATGACAGCCAATAACTAAAGCATCGTCGTGGAAAATTTGGAAATGTTTAGAATTTGATATTTTTCGGGTTTGTTTTTTGGGCTTCTAAAATTCCGTCATAAAGAAATTGGTGGAAAATCGGTCTACTATCCCAAGGAATAAAATATTAAATTAATACTCATAAAACTAATTAAAATTATAACTCCCATATAAATTACGTCCGAAACCCTCCAAGATCCCGAAACTCCAAAAAAGCCCCAAATTAGAGACTAAATTATAAAACTTATGTTCTCCCATGATAACACAGAGAGAAACCTCCGTTTCCCCATGACTCCGACTCCGACTTCGACTCCGATGTTCTTGCAAAGAGAAAACTTCACCCACCATGCGTGTATGTACGAATATTTGTGCATATGACACGAATATTTTAGGAAGGGACAACAAACATTTCTATAAAGCATTCTTTACCATGTTATTATATGTGTTGTAACATTTAATTTCTCTCTTTTTTTTTGTCCTTTGTAGGATAGTGCAGTAAATGGATACGGGGCAAAAGTACAGGAGGTTTTGCTTTTGGGAGTGGTTGGTGGTGGTCTATTTAGACTTAAATGTGGAAGTTGTTGAGGCTTTATCACAAAAGATTATCACTTTTTTTTCTTTTTCTTTTTTTAGTTTTTGCCACTTTTTTCAGTACTAGGTGCAAGCAACGTGC